AATGGAGCAGTGGGTGTTATATGCAAACAATGAATCATGGAACACTACATCAAAAACTAATGATGTAATGTATGGTGATTAACATAACATAATAAAAAAAGTGGATAAGTTAAAAAAAAAGATTAAAAAGAAAGAAATTATAACTAGCAATAACAACAACAAAAGAAAACAACCTGAAATGGTCAACAGGAGAATTGTTAAAAAAATTAATTACGTCCAATCAATGGAATATTACTTAAAGATAAGTGAAGAATCTATACTGTAACTTTGAAAATATCATGTGAAAAGAACAGAGCAACAAGTACCACTTCCTGTCTTGGCAAAGAAACTTGTTGTTCTCAATCCTCCTGCTAAAAAACAAACAAACAACAAAACTAGAAAAGCTGGACAAAATACAGAACACACCCATTTGAAAGTCATGGTGACCTATCAAGACAGCCAGGACATGAGGAGTGTATTAGTTTCCTATTGTTGCTGTAACAAATGACCACTTATTCAGTGCCTTTATAACAACATATGTTTCTTATCTTATAATTCTGGAGTTTAGAAGTCTGAAATGGTCTTATTGGACTAAAATCAAGGTGTTGGCTGAGTTTCTTCTGGAGGTTCTAGAGGATAATCTGTTGCCTGGTCTTTTTTAGTTTCTAGAGGCTGCCTGCACTCCTTGGCTCATGGTCGCTTTTGCTATTTTCAAGGTCAGCAGTGTAGCATCCTCAAATCTCTTGATTCTGACTCATCAGCCTCCCACATCCACTTATTATTATTATTTTTTTTTAAGTAAGCTCTACCCCCAACGTGGGGCTCAAACTCATCACACCAAGATCAAGAGTTGCATGCTCTACTGACTAAGCCAGCCAGGTGCCCCCTCCCTCATTCACTTATAAAGACCTTTGTAATGATACTGAATAATCCAGAATAATTTCCCCATCTCTGTGTCAGAGGATTGGCAACCTTATTTCCATATGTAGCCTTAATCCCTTCTTCCATATGACATAACATACAGATTCCAGAGATTAGGAGAGGGGCCTCTTTGGGGAACCATTATTCTGCTTACCAGAAGGAGCTATGTTTACAAAGTGAAGGAGGGGGCAACAAGCTGAGTCTGACTTTCTGTGGTCCTTTCCCATCAAAGCAATAGTTGATTCAGGGACCAGCTGGCTACAAAACCTTTATTAAAATGATAGTTAAGAGCCTAGAAACCTGAACAGAGCTGTGGGGGGGACAAAAATTGGTGTTCATGGCCTGCCTAAGAGTACTGGCCCTGGTTAACACTACAAATGTCAACGTAGGACCATGGAAATAGACAGGCTAAAATACAGATTTAAATACAATCATTTCCAGACGTGATAGAAGTGCTTGACCCCTATTCTAACTGCTTGACAGAAGCAAAGTAAAATCTCTTTGAAGGAAAGCATCCTCAGCAAAAAACTCAAACTATCTCTACAAGTTTACCTTCATAATGTCTGACATTCCACTGAAAACTTGTAGGCATATCAAAGGATCAAGTTACCATAAAAAAAACCACAATAGAATCAGGCTAATGGGTGATGCAAATCTAAGAGTTATCAGTGACAGGCATCAAAATAAATGTGATGAATGTGTTTGAGAAAACAGGCAACAAGATGAGGAATAGATAATAATCTGAGAGTTGAGATTTATAAAAAAAGAATGAAACTGAAATTCCAGAACTATAAAAAAATAATTACTGCAATTAAAAAATAAATGGGCTAAACAACATACACGGAATAGTAGTAGGGAAGAATGGAAAATTAGAAGAGAAAATAGAAAATATCAAAACTGAAGAATGGAAAGAAGAAAGAACGGAAATAAAGCTATACAGGATGAAATGAAAAAGTCTAACATTTGCATAATTAGGTCGTAGACCCGAGAGGAAAGAGAGAACAGAGCTTAAGCAGTATTTGAAAGGATAATGACTGACAATCTTTCAAAAATGACAAAAGACATCAAGTCTTAGTTTCAAAAAGCTTAAGAAACCCAAGCATAATATGCATATGTATTTAAAATCACAGCTTCATACACATAGTCAAATCTTTTGAAAACCCAAAACTGAGAAAATCTTAAAAGTAGTCAGGTGGAGGGGGGGGTGCCTGGGTGGCTCAGTCATTAAGCGTTTGCCTTTGGCTCAGGTCATGGCCCCAGGGTCCTGGGATTGAGCCCCGCATCGGGCTCCCTGCTCGACGAGAAGCCTGCTTCTCCCTCTCCCACTCCCCTGCTTGTGTTCCCTCTCTCACTGTGTCTCTCTCTGTCAAATAAATAAATAAAATCTTAAAAAAAAAAAAAAGGCAGTCAGGTGGGGGAAGAAATCACCTCCAAAGCAACAGCAGTAAAACGGACAGCTGGTCTCTGATCAGAAGTGATGCAAGTCAGGGGACAACAGAATAGTATCTTTTATGTGCTGAAAGACAGTAACTGCCTAGCTAAACTTCAGTTCCATGAAAAATGTACTTCTCAACTAAAGGCAACACAAAGACATTTTCAGACAAACAAAAACAAACTGTTGCCAAGAGAACTTTACTAAAATAAATAATAAAGGGATTTTTTTTTAAGCAAAGAAAAATAATTCCAGTCGGAAGCATGGAAATGGGAAAGCGGCTGAAGGGGTACGAATGGGTCAATTTGTGGGTAAGTCACAGTGACACTGGCTGTGTAACATGATGCAGGTAACGTTTTGTGGTGTTCGAACTGTGTGCAGATTTTTTTGTTTTTTTTTTTTTTAATGATAACACAAAACCAGGAGAGCTGGTAAGGAAGATCTAAGGTTCTTGCATTTATTTGGAAAGTGGTAAAATTCTAATTTATATTAGGATTAAGTTAAGTCCAGAACTTATATTTTACCCTTGAGTATAATCATTAAACAAGATTAAATGATGTATAGCATAACAAGCTTCTAGAGGGGAAAAAAACCCAAAAATGACATAAAACATTTGAGTAATATAAAAGGATGCAATAAAGAAAATAGAAATACAAATAACTAAGATGAGTAGGAAACAAACAGCAAAGTAGTAGATTTAAACACAACATATCAGTAATTACACTAAATGGACTATTCCGTTTAAAAAATATTGTCAGGCTCTATTAAAGAAATATAAAACCCAATTATATGCTACCTAAAAGAGATACATCTTAAATATAAGGATACAGAAAGATTGAAGACAAAGAGCTGAAAAAGATGTCCCATGTAAACATTAATCAAAAGGAAGTTGGCATTGTTATACTACTATCAACAAAATAGACTTTAGGGCAAGAAGCATTATTAGACTTAGAAAGGGACACTTTATAAGAATAATGTTGATTTAATTTGCCAGGAAAGTATAACAATTCTATGGCTGTATGCACTTAATGACAAAATAAATAAAGTAAAAATGTATGTAAAAGGAGAATAGGAAAATCATATTAATTATATAATATTCATATTATATTGTAGCACATATTACATATAATATCATATATATATTAGAATACTGTACAGTGATGAAAATGAAGTAACAACTGCTACATTCAAGAGAGTAAATAAATCTCATGAACATAAAGTCAAGCAAAAATGTCCCCAAAGAGTACATATGAAATGTGTCCATTTATAAAAATTCAAAACTAGCAAAGGTAACCTTGGATATTAGAACTCAGGATAGTGGTTACCTTGGGAAGAAGGGGGAATAGTGACTACTGTGGGGACATTAGTTCTATTCTATTTCTTTATCTAGGTGATGGTTACATGGGTATCTTTGCTCTGCGAAAATTCATTTACTTGTACATTTGTGATTTGTGAATTTTTCTATATTATGTTATAACTCAATAAATAAGTTTATTTTTAGAAGGGAACGAAGCAGAATCAATCTTATATAACTGTTAAAATTATGTAAAATTTATGTAACATTGTGCACATAGGAATTAATTAAAATTAATTAATCTGACAATTTTGGATGCCAAAATGTTGACTTTTTCTTTTCTCTTAAAAAAACATATTTAAATTGCTATATATATAACTTGTGTTATTTAAAAACAGACAAATAAATACCAAAAATGAAGTCTAGAATATCTTTTGTAAATGGAGAGCCTCCACTTGTCCAGGGATTCCAATCTTTTGGAATCAATCTCAAGAGTTAACCAATTATTGTGATTTCTCAAGTCAATTCCCAACCCAAGACTGCCCGTGCTCCCGTTTATAGAAGACCCAGGGTGGACACCGCAAAGTACTTTCAAGGTAGTATGCCTCTGAGATTAATTTTTATTTGGAGCATGGATTTGCCTAATGAAAAGCTCGAGCATTGGAAAGCTGTAATTCCAAATACTCAGAACTACAGAACTAAGGTCCCAATGTTGCCTCCAATAAAAAAAAATTGCAGGAAAAAAAAATTCAGGTCCAGAAGACTTAAATTTCTCCTCTTGACTAACTAAGCAAAAGCATTCTCAATTTCTCCAAGAACTTTCTGGAGGTAAACAGTGTAATCATCACGTAATCACCAACAAAGCCCTGCCGACCCTTGAGGAGCTGAGACCTGCAGACTGGGGGCACAGTGGACAGGCTTGGCCAGGAGCAACGTCTGACCCCTGAAGTGGAGGTCACACTAGAGGCATCAGATGGACAGATTTTGTCCTGGGGCTTCATGTGTGAGCCCCAAATGTGAGCACAGATTTGCCAGGAGAGATTACACTGAATCTAACTCATGTCATTTGTTCAAGCTCCCCTTTGTTCCCAAATAGACTAACCTTCTCTTTAATGATAAAGCCCCTTTTTGGGCTGAGTATTACCTTTTTGATTGTCACCTTGTCTCCTGAACAATATCTAAACTTTCAACTTGTTTCACATGAAGCACTACGTACTTTAATGAACTCAGACACTCTGCTCTGGGGAATGTGGGGTCGCAGAAGACACACTCTGACCCTGCGTAGGCCAGTCGTGCCTTACTGGTGTTCAGCCTTTCGTTTCGATCCCACCATCCCCTTCTCCACAACCTACAGGTCCCGAAGTGTCTCCATACCTGATAGAAGTCATCCACCTGCCGCACATAACCAGCCACTTCGTTATCGGATTTAAAGATCTTCCAAACTTTTCTTTCTGCCTGCTTGTATTTCTGGGACCCCTTCCACTTCATGGCTCTCAGAGAGCGCTCGGTCAGGGAAGCTGCCACAATGATGTCCAGCTGGCCATTGTAGATCAGAACCTGAAACAAAATTGAGCTGTGGGCAAATGCGGGATTCAGCAGGTAAAGTCGGGTAATCTATCTAGGTATAGATAGTGTGTGCACGAGAGAAAAGGTAACGGGAGGTTTTCTGATACTGTGCTCAAGAGAGGCCAGCCCAGCAGGTGAGTGGGGTCATTTTCTTCCAGCTGGCCACACACACCAACAACCTGAAATCTACACAAGCCTTGGCTCAGCCATTGCAATTCTTCCAGAAGTTCGAACCTTCATAGGAATCTGCATAAAGGCTTCTCTCAGTTACAAAAGCATTTGTGTTGTATTATCCAGTGATAACTCTTCGGTGTACAGCTATGTTCAAGAAGAGGACTGTGGTTACCTTTTACTGGAATGAGGAACACTACACCATTGGATTTGTGTGAAGACCGCATTTCATTAACTCAGCTTTCAGGCTGGTGAGCTGAGCATTGTCTCAGGAGCTGCTAATCCATACTGCTCTCCCCTCCAACACTGATTTTTACAGTGGCATCTATAACTTTATGAGGCAGATGGATAGAAGCAGGTGCCTCAGATTTGTTTCTTGTTGGAGGCAACTCTGTTTGCCATGCCACTTACAAGGACTCCTTGTCTTAGGCGTGACAGCCACTTGTCAACAATGAGGAATGTCTCTTCTTCCTAGAGTACAATTTTTATTTTTTTTTGCTAAGATGGTGGATATTAGAGGAGAAACAACTCCGAAGCAACTCCTGTCTTTTCTCCAAAAACAATAACAATATTCAACTGGCTTGGGAAAGAATTCAGGTAATACCCAGTGCTGATGAAGTGTAAAATGGCGCTACTCTTCAGGAAAGCGATGATCCATTTTTAACAAAAAGATTTGAAAATGCTGAGACTCTCTGTCCCAATAACCCCAGTTTATGGAATGAATTCTATGAAAATAAGCCCCCCAAATATATATATATATAAGACCATATTCATGGGGTGTTATCATGAAAAACTGAAACACAGTCTAGAAACACAGTCTAAAAGTTCCATAATTAGTGAAGGCGTTGAATAAACTATGGTACAGAAATTCTATGGGATAGTTCAAAACCATTTAAAATGTTCCACTGAACCACGTAGCAATGTGGAAAATACTTCTCACATACTGTTAAGTATGAAAGCTGAAAGTCAATATAGATCACATTTGTGAATGTAGAAAATAGGCATACATGTTTACATATATGGAATACAACTTTAAAAAACACGAAAACAGTTGGTTAACTTAGGTGGTACAAATCTGAGTAATATTCTCCTTTGTTTTCCACTCTTTTTAGGTTATTTTTATGCAACTAACACGATATTATTAATTCTCGTAAGGCATCGTCCCTCAACCCCCAACAAAGAGGTTTTCCTCAACTCCATGCTACCTTTGATCTACATGGAAGTTCTGGTTTCGCTCAAGTGAAGACCTTTGGTTGAATCCTCAAATTGGATATAAAATGTTTCACTACATATGTTTCCATCTCTGCCTTCCTGGTGTAGGCTTCTTAAAAGGCTTGCACATAATTAAACAGCCCAGGACTTTTACACACTCCAAATCCTCAAGCAGCAGTGGGCCAGGATTCAGCCTAAGATGAAAGAGCCCTGGGCCTCTGCGGCCAGAGCCCGGGATCTTTTATGTTACCCCATCACCATCACCACCTCCGCTCTCCTAAGCAGAAACCCAAAGGGAAAACTCCTGATCGATTTAAAGCCTCTTTAAAAAAACTCAATTCAACTCTAGCAATAAAAATTTGCATTGTTTATACAAAGAAATTGCCTCAAAGACCTTGGGTACTTATGGCCCATGCAAAACTCCTACAGCTGTTTTGCCAACAGTATGGAAACAATTACCCATGACCTGTACCAGCGAACAAGGCTTAAATCCTCCACCAATTGAAGAAGGCCTGATTAACAAAGATAATCATCTATAAAGTAATTCCTTTTCTAGAATTCCATGAAAAGATGCTGATTAACTAGCAAATACGCAAGTACATCTGGTTGTTTTCCACTCCGTGGCCACTAAATGAAGCTCACATCTTTCTGAGTGTCTCTTGGAGCTACTTTACTATCATCAGTATATTTTGAAATTGATTTGAATTTTTTATCTTTCAGGGATGCAAATCCACAGGTTACGGCAAAAACAGGCTTATTTGTACAGCAGTAGAGTACATGTTCGTTGGACTGAATTGAAATGAAGTCCATCCCTGAGCTGTGCCCCTTGTTATTCAAGACTCATCACAAACAAGAGCACTAACTCTCTGGAACGAGGCAGTGAAGGGCTGAACTGCATAATTTTGTGCATGTGATGTGTAGAAGGCCTACTTCTGGCGGCAAATGGAAATCTTCTTAAAGCAAGGAACACACTTTTAACTTCTAAAGGGCACATAAGTCAAACGCAAAAAAAAAGAAAGGAAAGAAATCAGATTAATGATCAAGCGAGGTGATTTCAAAGCTGGCATTTAAGGCTGCCAGCATTAAATATAAGAATTCCAGAGCTTTTATTTTTATCTAAATGTCACATTTACTCTCATCAGCCCTCACAGGAATATCTCAGTTGCCTTTAGGGCTGGGTGAGTGGGAAAAGATATCCCAGGATCCAGTGACAGTGAGCCGAGGAGCCAGGTGGGTGGAGCTTAGGGGTGGGTGGTCCGGAACCCATGTCCTGGTAGTCAGAGAGGTTCCAGGACAAAGCCTAAGCCCTGACGAGCTGGTCAGTTATGAAAGATCTGCATACATCTCCTCCACTTCTTCCTGGTGGGGTGACTAGCTGCCCCAGTCAGCCTGGCCTGAGGAGTTTCCCAGGAGGCAGGGCTTTCAGGCTAACCCTGGGACAGTCTGGGGGCAAACCTCTCCCTGAGGCTTGCTGGTATTTTAGGCAACAAATCTAAAGACAGAGAGGAGGAGACAGAAGTGAATGCAGCTTTCAGCTACCCTCCTCTTCTCAGTAGGGACTGTAAAAAAACAAGGCAGAAGGGAAAGACTGGTTGGATGGAGGTGGTTTGCCGTGACACCAGGCAGCTCCCCGAAACCCCCAGTTTCCTCACTTTCCTTCCTGGACAGCTGTGAAGCCTCAGTTAAACGGCAAAGGCACTCCCTTTAGAGAATTTTCTTTTCTTTCACTACTTGGAGGTCTGACCGGTTAGCTTGGTGAAACTGGTGGTTTTGCGAACACATGGAAAAATAACTTATTAAAAAATCAATGAAGACCATGATTCCACTGTTTCTACTCTATAACATTTTCAAAAAGATGCTTCAAACTTGGGAAAGGAATACATCAAAACACTAACAGTTAAGGTAGCTAAAATATGGATGATTTGTTTTGACCTGACTGTTTTCTAGGGGTTTTTTTTGGGGGGAGGTAAATGTAATTAGGATATTTTTATAATGAGAAAATAGTAAAATAATAACACTAAGAGGTTGGGAACCTTGGTTGGCAAAAGCTGGGTCTTTACTGAGGAATAATTTGTATTAACTCAAGTATTACCAACTCTCGCTTTTCATGACAACTAGGTAAATAGCCTAACTAGTTTGTTTGTAGATGATCTTAAAAGCCCATTCCAGAATTCAAGCATTTATTAGAAATGGTAGGAGGTGACTGGATTATAAGCATTGTTTGTTTGGTCAAAAGGCAGAGGTGAGAAAAAGCATTTTTGTTATTTACCTTCCCAAGTGCTTTGTACGTATGCTTTATCCTTGTACTGCCTCACGAGGTCAGGGCAAGAGGAATGACAACGTCTGCCTCTACTTCACTGTTAAGGAAGCTGGGACTCAGCGAGGTGCCAGAATGTTTCTGAGATCCCAGACTTCCAAACTCCTACCTAGAACTCCTTAAGAAAAAGAGCTAAATTCCTTCAAACCAACAGACATTTCCTGACGCCCCACAGCTAAATGTTTAGTGCTACCGAACGCCTCTGGGAAGGGAGAGTTGGGTGAGTAGGAGACACAGTTCACATCTCTGGTTCAGAAACAACCTCGGTCTGTTCGTCCAACTCTGGTGACATCTCTCAGTCATTTCTCACTGTGGCTCTCTGGACAAGGATGTGTACGAGACCGTTATTCAGCTGGTGGCAGATGCCTCACTTGTGTGGTAGGGAGTGCCACTGATGAAGCAGCTTGGTATATATAGCATCGGCTCCCTGAGAACGGGGCTCTCCTAGAGCTTGTTCTGCCTGCGGCCTTGCGCAGGGCCCGGCCTCCCGTGAATGGTATTGACACTGGGTAGAGTCAGTTGCACTTTCTAAAATTTTCTGTAATGCTGTATGTTGATCGTCGATTGCTTTGGCCTGCCTAGGTCCACTCTCCCTTCCCCTGATAACAGGACTCCCACACCCTCAATGGATCCAGCCTTAGTGGAGGCTGTCAATCGCAATATCCTGCCTCCTCCGTGCACAGGATGAGCATCTGTCCTAAGGTAGGGCACTCAAATGCTCTTTTCATAAAATCTGAACTGTGGGCAGAGGGACATAGGGTTCCCCGATGAGTCTGCCCATTAGCTTTCCTACCTGGATCCCCAGAATTTTCCTTGGTCCCAGTCTTTTCTCACTCCAGGTCTTCAATTTTTCTGTGAATTCTGTGACCTATCATGTCTTCTGATCAATTCCTTTTATGCTTTGAGTAAGCCCAGTTGTTTCTGTTGCTGAAAGCATGAAATCCAAACTCCTATACCAGTGAATGGACCCGTTGTCACCCAGGACCCAGCATGCAGTAACTGGGAACCCCTGGATATGTAGCTTAGCCTCCACAGGCTGTGCTCCCTTTTCTGGACATGAAGAAAGGAAGACCTACATCTCATTGTAGTGAGAGTAAATGAGATACTGTGCACAGAGTTGCTAGCATGGTGCCTGACGTAAATTAGGAGTTTGGTGCGTGTTCGGTCCTCCTCCTTCTCAAGTAGGTTGATGACTGGAAAATGCCTTGGAAGACTCAATAAAGCCCTTCTTCTAAAATCAGCCTTCAGAATACGCAGATGGTACTTTCGTGTCAAACACTCAGTTGCCAAC